GTGTCCTGACCAGGAACTGAACTGGGGATCCCCAGTGCTGCAAGGCAGAAGTGCTAACCACTATGCCAGTGTGCTCCATTGCAATACAGAAATATGTTTGATTAAATACACTAGGCTTAAAAGGAGAACTATGGGGTCAGTGCTTTTCCCCATAGTTCTCCTAAGGGTCACAGGAGGACACAAACTAGAGTCCTCCCGTGACCCAAAGCTCAGTATAGCTTGCGGTATACTGAGACCGCCGCAGCCGGGACGGATCCCGACATTACTGTCGAGATCCACCCAGCTGCGTGATTGACAGCTGGCTCTGCCTATCTAGAGGCAGAGCCAGCTGTCCCCGCCCCCTCCCCCGTCCGTTCCGCCAGTCAGCGCTGGAGGATCGGACAGGGGAGGGGGGGAATCCCTGCATGGAGCCGTGAGTGACAGTCACGGCTCTCTGCAGGGACAGAATCGAGAAGTGAGCGAGCGACGGTATGTGTTCGCTCACTTCCCGATCTATTGAGCCGACGTGTGACAGTTTCATTGTCACGCGTCGGCTCGAACTATGAGGCTGAGTGGTTTTCACTCACCTCATAGTTCTCCTTCAAGTACTACCAGGTTAAGTTGTATCCCCTCTTCTGTAAATCCATCCTTGCCCTCAGGCTTGTCTAATTTGTGGTTTATGAGAAGAGGTAATGCAGCATGTATAGAACTCGACTAGCTGAGATGACGGTATATTCTCCATGGTTATTTGACATAACAGAATTCTTTCCCTGTGACATTGTGAACCAGGATCTGCTGCTGTGTCAGACGGATGTGCCTATTGAAAATCTGGATCAAGTGGTTGCTGGCTACAGTGTTCTCATTTTTTCCTCTACGCCCTGGAGTCCTCGCACACAAAGGCAGCATGTCAGGGCTAATTTCATTTCCTGCCTAGTTGTAGTTCGATTCAACGCATGAATGGAAGAGATGCTCTAAGGCATTGTTGGTATCTTGCAAAGCATTTCGAGGCTCCACCTGTGTTCCCAACTCCTCCAGAGGGCCACGCTACAGTTTAGTAAAAAGTAAAACTTATACAGAAGTATATACCATGCTTTGCCGTAGGCGCAGAGATTGCTGCTGAGGGGCTCCTGATGCAAATGCTCCTTCTGCAGTTTGTGGCTTCACCCCTGCACTTATGTATTGGGAGAAAGGAATAGGCTGCTATTAATGAATGCCAGGCTGATGCTGTGGTTTTATTCTCTCAGGCTCACTGACTTGCAACCATAGTGTAGAGTGGTCCAGTACCCAGCCAAGCCTTTTTGTGGTGCTATACAGATACATTTTAGATTTATAGTATATGTGATTGCAGCACTCCCAAAGCACATAGAAAAAAGGAAACATCAATTCTGTACTCCAAATGCATTTATTAAAATTTACAGTACATGCGCAGATTCTTTTGGAAGTTTTTTTATTGGCAGTCATGTGACCGCAGTGCCTTCATTATGGTGGCTATTCTGCATATTTGGGGGCATGTCCATTTACAAAGCGGGCTTATTGTAAAATCTGATTAGTTTAGGGTTATGAAATTGCATTTAGAGACTGTATATAGTATAAAGATGAATTAACCCTTTGAAGCATCTGTTGAAAGTACACCAATGGATCAGTCCAAGCAGATTTAGTTTTTTAGTTTTTGGTAGATGCTGTGCAGTAAGGGCCCATCCATACCATCGCGTTACAGTTCATTCTGCACCCCAATACAAATTGCTCAATGGTATAAATAGGCCCGTAAAACTCCTAACAGAAGTCTCTCAGAAACTCTGCTGTTGAGATCTCTGCACTTGAGTTCTTGTTGTGACCATTATGACGAGGTCCCACTACTCCTGTTGGGTATCTAATAGGTTTTATATTAAAGTGATTCTAAACTCAGGAGTTAATTCTTAAAAATGCATTAAAGTACCTTAAAGTGACATTAAAGTATTTTTTTCCCTCCCCCCAATGTTAGTGTAGAGACTTACCTTAAATGATGTCTCTTGATCCGATCATCTTCTTCTTTCCAGTTGTTTTCAGATGTCCCTCCAGCGGTGCGGCGGGTCTCCGATCCAGTGCTGACTCCCCTATGCTTGCTGGCACTTCCTGTCCCACAGTGTCTGCATGCGGGTGCACGCTGTCCATAGACTTACCTTGTGTCTCTCCTTGTCTCTCGGCCGAACATCTGAACTGTGCACGTGCCCGCCCCAAGATCGTTTGGGGCTGCCCGAGATTTTTCAGATTTTCGTACGGGAGTGAATCACAGGAATGAGCTTGGAGCAGTGGCTACTTTACAACACACACAGGGACCATGGGGAACAAAAGTAACCACCCTCCCAAAGGAAGGACAGTGTCAGCACCAATTGAGAGAGGATTTGAGGCTCTACAGCCGAGTGATACACAAATAAGATACATTTTTGGTAATAGTTAAGGTACTTGAATGCATATTTAAGATTTAACTCCTGAGTTTATTGTCACTTGAGGGCTTATTCACACCGAAAGCATGTGCGTTCCAGAGCGTTTTGGGGCGGGAGGCTGATCGCACTGCGGGGCGGGGGGCGTGCAAGCGGTGCCATTAAATACAATGCACCGCCACGCCCCCTCCCGCCCCAAAACGCAAAGGGAAGTTTCTCAGCGATTGCGGTGCGTTGCAGCAGCTACCGCTCTGGAACGCACACGCTTTCGGTTTGAACAAGGCCTGAAGATTGCAGGAAAACACACAAAGGTGGACTGAAACACCCAAATTTCCCAGGTGGATAGGAGCAAAGGTGGGAATATGGCAGGATGATATTGCTGTTAGCCTATCTCTAGGGCACGTAAGAATCCAGGAACTCATAACACAACTAATCAAGCTGTACCAAAAACTATTAACAAGTATTCCTTTTGGGTGGACTCACCCTTTAAGTTGTATATATTTTTGTGTGAATGTAATATAGTGTTTGCTGAAACATTTAACCACCTCACGCGGGCTCACGTAAATTCACGTCACCCGCCTAACACGGATGCTGCTGCAGCCGTGTTCTTAGTACAGTTGTAAACAGCAGACGATTTCTGTTTCTATGCAAGTGATCCGGCATCCCCTCTGTGTGTGTCCCCTCTTCCGCTGTCGGCTTTCCCAGGCTCCTCTGTCCCTCTTGCGGGCCCGGGACCAGCACGGCAGGTCTCCTCTGATGGATCGGAGGGAGATCAGCAGGCTTCTAGCCGCTGATCTCTCCTCCGATTACTGGACCTGGAAGTGATGTGTATTACATCACTTCCGGTGTCACTGGGCACATTCTTCAGCTCCTAGAGCCAGGAGAAGAAGCTGGTAAAGCAGATCTCTGCTTCCTCAGCTTCTTTGGGACCCCTAGGTGAAATAAGGGGTGTGAAAGACCCCTGATGTCTCCATAAAAAGGAACTGTTACATCCTATTTGGTATTACATAGGGGGCTTTTTAGCAAACACTCGTTGGATGTGCCTACATGCAAAAATGAAAATTGTGCCACGCATGTTACATATCGCCGCAAATGTTGGAGTGAGAGCAATAATATTAGGGCCATCAATCACTGGTAACACTAAACTGATGAGCAGTAAAAGTTTAAAGCGCCCCCTATGTAAAATTGTGGTTATTGTAGTTTTTTAGCGGTTTCACGGGCGCACACAATTTTAAGGGTTAACATGTTTGGTATCTATTTACCCCGTGTGACCCCATCTTTTATATTTTACCAACAAAATTGTTCTTATATTTTGTTTCTGTGCACTAAATTTTTATTTTAGTGTATTTTATCCTAAAAGAACTGGTTTGATAAACATTTGCGCAAATACCGTGCGACATAAAAAATTGCAACTAGCATCTTTTTATTCTACAGAGCCTCATTTCAGGAAATATATAATTGTTTGGAGGTTTCAAGCTGTTTTCTAGCCAAAAAATCAGATTTTATCATGTGTGTGCAACTGTAACAAATTGCTCCGGTCAGCGAATGGTTAAAATGATCAAGGTGTATTTAACTGGCTCAAGTACCATGGAAACTGTTAAAATGCTTCAGACTGAAGACATGAAACCCATAGCTTTTCTGCAGTTTAGTGAAACCAAAGGTTTCAGTATCCTTAAATAGGACATGCTTTAACTACGGTCACTGCAAAGTATCAGCCCTTAGGATTCCAGTCACAATGCATTGTACTGTAGAAAAGCAAAATGTATGCAGTGCATATACTGTAGCATTCGTAGCTGAAGCATGTTCTGTGTATTAGCAGCAAGGGAGGTTGGACAACTGTGGATGTTCAGACTAGGATACCAAGTCACAAACAGACCTTTTTCAAGTTTGGGGAGTTTGGGTTGTGCCCTTAAAACTTCTTCTATCAGTAGGGTTGGAATAGCTAAGTTTGCCAGCAAAATGTTCATTAAACTTCCAGCTGAAGCCCAGAACACCTGTAAAGGTGCCCATACACCTTACAATTATCTGCAGATTTTCTGTGGTCAGATGAAAAAAGTGCAACAGATTGGCCCAGGTGGAGATTACTCCATCCACACAGTTTAGCGTAGATGGAGGAATCTGTTGCACCTTTTCCATCTGACCATAGAAACTCTGCAGATAATTGTAAGGTGTATGGCCAGCTTAAGACTTTTATTAACAGCTTAAGACTGTTAAGGGAATTCACTCTCTTTGTCTGTCCTGGGACTGTTATCACTGAAAGTTAAAGAAAATCCCAAATTTTGAGTTGTCATCAGAACAGGAATAGATGGCACAATGAGGACACTAGTTCTGGTGACCCTGCTGACCACCAGGGATTTCCCTCATATTGAAGGGATTTCCTCTCACTTCTTGTTGTGGCTATTGGACAGGAAGTGAAGGGAGATCTCCCCAATGCGACACAGATGGCAAATGGTATAACCTTTCCTTACTCTGTTCAAAACAACCAAAAACATTATAGCTTAATTTCTACTTAAAGTATTTTTTTAAGTAGTAGAAAATACTTGTTACCATATGTTCAGTATTAGTTTGTTTTATGAATTCCTAACCCTCAATTTGTTTTAGTGCTTCGCACCGAGCAAGATTTTCACATGGCTGCAAAAACCAACAACATCGAGAAGATGAAGCAGCTAATCTTGAGAGGGGTGAACGTCAGAGCCAAGAACAGTGTAGGTACAGTATCCCTTCTATGCTGGTGCATGCTATAGCAAGGTTTGGTTTGTGGGATGTCTATGGGGACAGTAGCAATTAACATGTCTTATATTGGAATAATTAAATCTACAAACAGTTCTGTAATGTGAGGTTTTTTGCAAGGACAGTTAAAAGAGAACCTTTTTTTTTGGTTTAGTCCTCTTTTGGGTCACAGGAGTACATTTACTAATATACTCCTGTGACCCAAAGTCAGCATCTAGTGGTTTACTGCCTGCTATTTACAGAGCCACACTGCAGCCGGGTAAGATCCCAATATTGTTGGCATCCACCCCGCTGCCTGATTGACAGATAGCTCTACCTGTCTAGAGCCAGAGCAAGTTGTGCCCGTCCCCTGCCCTGTCTGTCCCTCCAATGAGCGCTGTAGGAACACAGAGGGGAGGGGGAATGCCTGCGGGGAGCAGTGACTGACAGTCATCGATGTCTGCTGAGAGAAGACCATGAGCTGAGCGATCACTCAGCTCTCGATCTATAGAGCCAGTGTGTGACAGCTTCAGTGTCCCACGTCGGCTCTAAGTATTGGGAAGAGTACATTCTACTCTCCCAATACTTGTCCTTTAATGAACAAATAACATCAAAAACATTTTTTTTCTTTTGGTTGTATGCAGAAATATAATATTAGACATATTTTCTAAAGCAAAGAACACATTTCAGTAATTTTGTAACAGAGTATATATTTCTCTGATCTGACTATAGTGAAGCAAATGGGATTGGTTGATGTGGCTTAAGGTGATTTGTACTCAACATACATTTAACACCAAAAATGGTACTATAGAGTAGGGAATGGTTGGTTAAAATCCAATCAGATTTTTTTGTTTTCCTTGCTGCATGTTTCATTTGGGGAGATTTCCCTTTACATGCTGTCCCAGAGCTGCAATGGGAATTGAGGTGAAATCACCACTTACACAGTTGTCACTGGAACTGGTGTCCCAGTTAGAAGATTTCCCCTCGACTCTTATTCCTGGGTCAGCTTTAACATTTTCATTTTCCCACCGCTTTCTGTCTCGGTGACAGTGGTCACCAGGGCAAACAGAGAAAGTGAATGTCCCCAGCGGGGACACAGACAACAATGAAAACCTGACCAGACCTGGCGTTTAAGCACTTCCCAGTTTTATCCCAAACTGGAAAAAGAAAGTTTTGGCATTAGTTTCTTTAAACCAGGGGTTCCCTTTGGGGTGTGAGATGGAATTTCAGGGGATGTGACAAAGAATGGCTTGTATCCTTTAGCCCCCATTCACACCTAAGTGTACCAGGAATGCGCGTCACGTTTGTGCGTGTTCATGTGCGTTTGTTGTCACGGGCGCAGGACAAATGAGGGATAGTAGCTCATGTAGAAAATTCTGCGACACGCATCCTGCGTTTTTCCAGCTGCATTTAGGGTGCCATTAACAAACGTGCTGCACGTTTTTGACACATTCCGTAATTGTGCATCAAAGCGTGCATTTTGTGCGCAGGTTCACGGAATGCCTAGGTGTGAATGGGGACTTAGTGATGAGTCACTGCTGCCAGTGTGCCTTGAGCAGTGGTAGTAGGTGGTTGTGTTGCGTAGATAGTAGTCTCGTTGTTTATTTAATCAAAAGGAGGGAATAACAGAATTAACATACAAGTAAAGTAAGCAACTGATTTTCGGAGAATTGCTTTTAAAATGATTATAACGCAACAAGTGACATAATCATTGTATATTGTTTCACTCATTAATTCACAAACGTGAGAGTTTGTTAAGTATTTCACCCCTTGGAGCCTTCCAGCTTGTCCGTCACCTCTGCTCACACACACCATGCCTCCCTCTGTCACTTGAATTTACTCGGCCAATACTGTACTGATCCCCTCTGTGTCCAGCCAATCAAACACCTCCCTCATTGCCTCTGACTTCTCCATATATAATGTAAAGGACTGAGGGGTGCAGGGGAGATGGGGGGTGCGAACTTTAGTCAAACATTTCCTAGGGGTGTAGGCCATAGATAAGGTTGGGGACCACTGCTTTAAGCTCTTCTCTTTGCATTGGCTTAATACGGATATGGGTTCTCAGTGCTCAAGGTGGCAATGGATGTAGAGTAGACATTTCCAAGGGGTCTATTTATAAAATATTTGCATAGCTTTTCATCCAGTGAAACTGCATGTACATTTGTCCTGTGCAAGTTGACCAGCTGATGTGAGAATGGGGCCAACATGAATGTTCTCTGGGTATCTTTCTCTTCTGGTCAAATGTTCTTAAAGCAGAATTACACCCTCCTATCTTTAATACCTAAGGAAGGTGCCATCGTAGCCTCTATTTCAATATAGGCACAGAGGTAAAATTTTTTAACATTTTCTAATGGTGGTGTGCCTCGTGATTTTTTTCATGAAAAAAGTGTGCCTTTGCACAAAAAAGGTTGAAAAACACTGCTCTATTGGATTGCAGTTACCATGGTGCCCCACATGCAATCGGCTATGACAGTAGCCATTTGGCTTGAAAGTTGGGTTGAGAGCTGAAATAAGCACACTGGCAACCTTGACAGTTGGCATACCTTAAAGGTGACTATCTTGGGAGACAATAAATTGGTGGGTGAAGTTCCCCTTTAAGAATTTATATAACATAAACCATCAGGAGCGTACTCTCACTTGCAGATGAATTGAGCACTAGTATATTATGAATAGTTCCTTATATTCCGATAACACCTGTATTACTGTGTACTAGATACATTAGCCACAGAAGTGCTGTAAATAATAAGCCCATAAACTGGCACTAATGGTTGTCTTTGGCAGATGGAAACAATGCTGCTAAAACAAAAAGTTGCAGAGTTGAAGAGTATGTTGCATGTATATTTTTAAGTGCACAACTTGACATTTTCCAGTATTGAACCTCATCTACCATGTAGCTGCCCACCCCCACTATTTTATCTAGGTCTTCCTTTAACGATAATACTGTATATCTTGTGCCAAAGTTATTTCCTTCCATAATATGGTATCATCAGCAAACACTGAAATGTAACTCTTAATTCCAATCTCAAATTAAACAGCATTGGTCACATGACAGAGTCCTAGGGCACACTACTCACAATCTTGAACCATTTAGAGAATGAGTCATTGATCACTACTCTCTGGACACGTTCAGGTAACCAGTTTTCTGCCCATGTACGTACAATTTCTTATACACCAATAGACCTTATTTTGTAAATTAGACATTTATGAGGTATAGTCGTATTGCATTTAACTGAATTGTCAGATCCAGCTCTAAAGTCTAGCGGTGCCTTTAATATTTTGACAGGAAAATAGAACAGATCAGTCTCAGGGTGATCTAGTTATGTCTGTCATTCCTGTATTTGCAGAATAATACGGCTGCTGGAAAAGTGCTCAGAAATACCAACAGCAATGTGTATGGAATAAGTAGGGTAGGGCAGATCCGACCTGCACATTACAAACACACAGAGCAAACATAAAGACATGCCCGCCTGCGTCAGGATCATGCCAATAGTAATGATTGTACCTTCTTGCCCCAGGTTACTGACCATACAGACACTGGATCATGGTCTTGTTTTTCTTTCTTTACTTGCGTTTCAGGTAGACAGGACAGCCTTACACTGGGCAGCTGGAGCTGGACAAGAGCAAGCTGTCAAACTGCTGCTGGAATATGATTTGCCTGTGGACGAAGAAGACTGTGTATGTGTCTGGTTTGTCAGGTGACCCCTAACACACAATTACCCTTTATACTCACCCCTAGAATGTTAGAGCATTAAAGGATATCTAAAGTCCCAGCATTGTAATAGGAATACATACTAGAGTTGTTTTTGATAATGCAATCAAAGCTTACTTGAAAAATCCCTTTTATGTGGTGAGTGCTGCCTTCTGTCTGCTCATCACTTTCACCAACTTCCTGGATTCCATGTGTGCTTTGCATCCCTTTCCCTGCTGCTTGATGTAATCTGGATTTCTCAAGACTACATATCCCATGATGCATCACTTCCAGCAAGCAATAAGGTTGCATTGTGGGAAGTTCAGACACTGAGTTGTAGTTCAGATGGTTGACACAAGGAAGTGCATATACACAGGGCTGAGTAACATTGTGTCAGTGCATTGAGGAAGTACATCCTATCGGCATCTACAATCAGTAATTTTACAAACTTCAAGGTGGATCTGGTTATTATGAGTATTATGATTTGGATAGAACTTGGATAGAACAGATTTATTTCACTTTTTTTACCATAGATATCCTTTAATGTACTCACTATTTTGGCCTAGATTGTTCACTTCCCTGCCTTCTCCAAACTCTTCACCATTTAGTGAATAACCCTGGTAGTATATGTTCACTACCTTTCTCACAAATACAGTATATTGCATTGTATAAGCAATTATAAAATATATTATTGCAATTATAAATATAAGCATTGCCATCACTATATAAACATTTGTTTGTGCCCATTTTCTGAACCTCTAGTTTGGAATGAATGCGCTTCTGCTGGGGGCATGGTTTGGACACCTGAAAATTCTCCAGATCCTGGTCAATGCCGGAGCCAAAATCAGCTGTGAAAATAAGGTGAGGCTTGACAATTTAAGTTCATGTGTATCCTGTATGCCCAGAAGTCAATCATGTGTTCTCATATTGTTAACAAGTGGCAAATAACGGAAAACATACGACATTCCAAAAGACTCATAAAACAAAGCAATCTGCTTAAGGCAATGCTCTCTATTGTATCTGCCCGTCTTTTATACCAGACAGCGGTGACCCTGTGACCAAGGTGTCTTACTGACATACAAGAATGGTTGAACTGTAACTGGCTGAAACTGAACCCAGACAAGACAGACATGCTTGTAAACGGAGGGCAGAGGCTAACATTAAAGTGGTAGAAAACGCGTCTAAATATGTCCAGTTGTTTTGTACAAATCTTATGTTCTCAGGCCCACAGCCTGGGTTTGATCCCGGACACTAACCTATCAATTTAGGAGCAGGTATCTGCTTCCATCAGGTCTTTCCACCATCTCAGGAATATTGCAAGAATCAAACATCTGACATCAGCAGAGGATATGCCAAAATGATTCCATGCTTTTGTATCATCCAGATTACTGCAACTTCCTATACTATTGTGTCTGAGAACGAATTATATTGATTGCAGCTGGTACAGAAAGCAGCAGTCAGGCTAGTCACCCATCACCCCAATTCTGCATTCCCTATACTGGCTTCCAAGTACAGTAAATGGAGGATATCCTTTAAAATTGGCTTAGTTATAGATGCCTAAATAACTTGAGCAGCGTCTATCTGAAAGAAATTCTGGTTTCCTATAATCTTACATCCTTCCATCATTCCTCAGACAAAGAAATATTATTTGAGCTCAGACTAGTCTAATAATCTATTGGATCTCATGAATTCTATCATGCAGCACCCACAATACTGAACTTACTGCAATCCATTGTCCAGGAAGGACCATCTCTGGATGTTTTTAAAAACAGACTGAAGATTCGTCTATTCATCAAGGATTACAGCAACGCCTGACAAATCCTTCTCTTCACAGATCCCAACACCAATCTGATGATCAGTGCTTTAAGTCCCCAGGGGAAGAGCATATCAATTATATATAAATATATTATATTACTATTACAGCTTTTTACAACAGCTATAGATTTCTAAATGTAAACTAGTCATCAATTATTAGGACACATGTGACTGATTCCAATCAGTGATGATATAAGGAGTTCTGTGAAAAGGTTTGTAAAAGCTTTTGGCTCCCAGTCTCATTCATTATTTGTTCTTGGGACTCCTTAATATCTTTGTAATATGCTTTTATGTCAGTCACATACCCTACTCATTGACTACACATATGCTTATGTTTGTGATGTCACTAATGGGCCACGCATGTGCCACCTGAACACTTGAGGTGAACCAGTTACCAAGGGGCATTTGTGGTAATCTGAATCTTTACTATTGTATTCTAATAATACTAATACTAATTAGTAGGTTTGTCTGAACTCCTGCCTGGGCTCAAGGCTGACAACAGACACTCGTAAAACTGCCTTATAACATCTGTGCTGTAAGAATTGCATGACAGTAAACCCAAAGCTTAATTCATTGACAATTATACCTTGTCCAGCAGTGTGTCAGTTAATCAGCCATGAGTTTAGGAAGGAAACAGGTCAGCATCTATGGGGCCTACAGCCTGATACTGGGCTAACAAGAAGAGATTATACTTAAATAACACACACTTATCCCAGAGAGGTGAAGAATTAGATACTTATAAATACTCATTCCTGACTGGTCCTGTTCAAGTTTCCTAACTGATGTCACTGAAAAAAGCTCTCATGGGTTCTACTTTTGAACCAATGTGACACAGCTCTGCTCAGTTAATATATCTACCATGTACCTCCTATAACCTCATACAGTATATTGACTTTCAGGCATTTGTTATAAAGCAGTTCATGTTAATGCAATTTTGTGTTAAATTTTCAGAATGGACTCAACCTGCTCCACTGTGCAGCACAGAGAGGTCACATCAAGGTCCTAGAGTTCATCATGGAGGATCTGGAGAACATCAAAGTAGATAAGGTGGACAAGGTAAATGAGACATCCTTACATGTACATGGTAATTGTTTAGCACTGACATAATGTGCAGTAAATAGCACATAAAGGCTTTAGATAGCACATTAACTGTTGTGCAGCAATTCTCAGACTATCCATAGATCTTTTTAGCATACCAGGACATCCTGTGAGAAACCATGTTGGTTAATCCTTAAACTACCGGCCTGGGTTATCTAGCTGAATATGATTCAGTGTCATAGACATAAATGAGTATGAAGACGTCATAGGATTTGGAATAGGTCACTGGAGAGGTAACTCTGATATCTGTGTAATGACTAGTAACTGCTAGTGAACTAAATATCTGATTCAGTATAGTTGACTCACTTGCAGTCCCAGAAGCAGAAGACGTTTACATGTAAAAGAAAACCTTAGTGAGAAAAAGCACAGAAGCTGATGTTGTAGGCTTCTTTTTTCAATCGCAGACCTAGCTTCAGTACTTTCAGTCACAGATCCGGGACAAATAGACAGATCAGTTCTAACATTACTGGGACATTACAAGCTGTATGCTTGTTTCTGGTCAGTGATTAGGAAACTATTGTGCAAGTGATAACACAGCGCTAAAGGTGGATTCCGTAAGAAAGTAGGTGTAAAATATAAATTAATATATTGCCTTGTTCTGAAGGTATATATATATATATCCACCGAACTGGGGGACTAGTTACCTCCTCAAGGTGTATATATGTGTATATACATATAAGTGAATAACGTCCCAATGAAAAAATATCAAAAACAACTATGTATAAATCAAGTGATAACAAAGTGTCTAAACCTCATTTGTGTTGATAAATCTGAGCATAAACTTCTACGTGGATACAATGCAACACAATGTGAAAAAAATGTTAACAATAAAATTATCTCATAAGTGAATGGTAAAGAAGTGACAAATCCTCAAACCTTTGTGTCAAACCGTTAATAAAATAAAATTAACGAAAAACTGTTGTACAGATAAAGTGCAAAAGTTTTTCGTAAATTTTATTTTATTAACGGTTTGACACAAAGGTTTGAGGATTTGTCACTTCTTTACCATTCACTTATGAGATAATTTTATTGTTAACATTTTTTTCACATTGTGTTGCATTGTATCCACGTAGAAGTTTATGCTCAGATTTATCAACACAAATGAGGTTTAGACACTTTGTTATCACTTGATTTATACATAGTTGTTTTTGATATTTTTTCATTGGGACGTTATTCACTTATATGTATATACACATATATACACCTTGAGGAGGTAACTAGTCCCCCAGTTCGGTGGATATATATATATACCTTCAGAACAAGGCAATATATTAATTTATATTTTACACCTACTTTCTTACGGAATCCACCTTTAGCGCTGTGTTATCACTTGCACATCATATTTTACCAATTCATAGCAGCTTTAGGATTAGTATTTTAACTTTTTAGCCTTATCTTTCCAAGAGCGCAGATTATTTTATCTAAATTAGGAAACTATTGAAGCCGGAAACAGCAAGCATTTTTAAGAAGAAAGTAACCTCCATTTTATAACATTGCAGATTATTTTTAATGTCAGTTGTATTTGATACTATATAATGCATTGTAGATATACAGGTAGAGTGTTAAATATGGATGCAAAAAGCAAATTACAACAATAAACTTTTTTTCTCCTTTTAAATTCCCCCAAATGTCATAGGTCTGACCATTTCTAGAATTTTATGTTATTTTTATAGGGATTGTTGCTCTTTGTTTCTCTCAACAGATATAATTTGGTCCCTCTTCTATTGCTTTGCATATACACTGAGAGGCCAGTTTATTATGACCACCTGATGTTTGTAGGCAAATTAGCTATCATTAGCTATAATTTCACGCTGAAGTTGCTAGAGGGCCAGACCATTATAAATAGGGAAGCAGGTTGTTGTCACGACAGTAGAAGTGATTTTCTGAAGATATGGGTAAACAACGCGATTTAACAGCCTTTGAACGTGGGGTGATTGTTGGCGCGGAGCCATGGAGCGAGTATCAGCAAAATAGCAGAATTTGTTAAATGTTCAAGAGCAGCTGTTGTTAAAGTGTTTAAAGGCTGGACTGTCAGCCGAAAATCTGGGTCTGAACGTGCGAATGGTGGCCCAACAGCGACTAGTCAATGTTAGGGCAGAACGGAGAGGGGCAAGACTGGTACAAGACAACAGAAGGGCAACAGTGCAGTGTCAGATTCCTCGCATCACCTTTTAACATCTCGTGGAGTCACGAGGCGGTCCCAACGAAGTCATCTGGTGGAGTCATCTCGTGGCCCAACAAAGTACTGATGGGGTGGTCATAATAATCTGGCCACTCAGTGTATGTTCTCTGGGAATAATAATGTTCAGGTCATCCACCATATAGCATTTCTACTTCTGCAGAGTTAAAATAAATAGCTTTTTTGCATTTTTTGCAAATATTCTTGAAATGAAAATAGTTCTTGAATATTCCATTACATACAGTAAGTGTGTGACTGTGAAGAAAGTAGAAGAAAGAAGCACTGGGTGAATATTTTCTAACATAAAACTATATATTCAAAATCCAAAGTGAAATGAGACTCCCTCATAATGACTTTGACTGATGGGATGACGTTAGAACTTAGAGGAATCTCATTGCTGGTGTCAATCAGAGGAGTATACGGACAATGGGTGATTTAACTCTCCAGCTTCTATCGAAAACTAAAATATATTTTTTCATGAACTCAACCTTTAAGGAGTTGGCTCAGGAAGGTATGCAGTTTTTCTGGAGTGTTATGATTATATCAGGAATGAGTAGGTAGTGCCTGCAGTTAATGATCTGTAGACCAGCTTTTTTCAAAATGTGGTCTACATACCACCTATCGTCAATGAGACATGCGTTGGGTGGTCCTTAGTTATCCTTCTACAGTCTGCTATAGGATGTACTGTCATTGGTGCCATGGGCATCAGTTTTCTGCTACAACTTCCTTATAACTTTTCCCATGTTAAATCCTATCTCCAGAAAAAAAATAATCTATCCTTGCATTGTGGCTGCTGGAGCACTGCAAGCATAACATGCTCATTTAGGTCTAGGGTACTGGGTATAGGACTTCTACTTCCGTGATCCCCAATCCGACAGGCTCCCTCTAGGCTTCAAGACCTGCACCTACATCCTCCTTACCCCTAACTATGTTCTGGCAGACAGAGGCCCACTGATGTCATCAAGTACAATGCAGGGTCCAGAGCCCTGCATTACACGTGAAGTGACAAGTGACAGCATTTCTGGCAAGAGCAACAGGATTTTTCTGCACTTGCTGAAAATGTCTAAAAAGCCTTAAAAGTGAAAACAAATGCAACCACCACATCTAAGGACTGGTAAGCTGCAAAATATTACATTTTTGTTTTTGTATTGAGGTGTGCTTTAAAAATAAATGACAAAATGTCTGGAGGAGAACCCTCCCAATTTTGACACTTGTTACTATGACATCTGTCCCTCATTTTTCCCTCCCTTTAGCAAGGTTTCAATTTACTTCCTGCTTTGTCTCTTGAACAGGAAGTGTAGAAAAATCTACCCAATGGGAACACAAGCAGACATAAAGTCATTAAGGCAATTTAGGATAAATTGAAGGGTTCCTGGGGACCTTATTTTGTGGTTTTCCTAGAGTGATGGTGCAGGTCAGTTGTTCTTGTGGGGAGTTTTTGTGGCTCCTTCCCTTTGTTTTGTTATAAACATAACATAATTGAGTACATAGAAACCAGCATGCACGAGATGGTAAATATTTAACTTGTATAGATAACGGGCAGAAATATGATCATTTTCTTAAGAGTGCTCTTATTCATTTGTACAATAGGGATGGTTTCAGCTGTCTGTGGAATGCGGCTGTCAAGGAGGAGTTGACAGTTAAACCATTTTCACAGAAATGTAATTCTTTCAGTGGAATGTTATCAACAATGACTGTACATACCGGTAGTAGCCAGAAGTTGTAAAGGGTAAAAATGCATTCTCAAGTTTAACAGCTTGCTCCTGTTTCCTGTATCCCATTAAATTTTCTATGACATTAAAGGAGAACTATGGGGTCAGTGTTTTTCCCCATAGTTCTCCTTAGGGTAACGGGAGAACACAAACTAGCGTCCTCCCGTTACCCTAAGCTCAGTATACCGCGAGCTACAGCTCGCGGTATACTGAGACGCCGCAGCCGGAGCGGATCCCGACGTAGATGACGGGATCCGCCCAGCTGCGTGAGTGACAGCTGGCTCTGCCTATCTAGAGGCAGAGCCAGCTGTACCCGCCCCCTCCCCGTCCGTTCCGCCAGTCAGCGCTGGCAGATCGGAGAGAGGAATCCAGCCCCTCCCCCTATCACGGCAGAGAGCCGTGACAGGATCGAGAGGTGAGCGAACCTGGTATGTGTTCGCTCACCTCCCGATCTACTGAGCCGACCTGTGACAGTCTCATTGTCACAGGTCGGCTAGAACTATGAGGTGAGTGGAAATCACTCATCTCATAGTTCTCCTTTAAATCTCAATGATAGTTAAATAAGATCCCTATGATACGTTGAATTTTCCTTCCTTTGTCATCTTTGGAACATCTTATAAGGAGCATGAATGCAGTTTGTTACATTTATGACAGGGGTGGACAAATTGTTATGGAGTTGAGGAGCCAGTCTGTCCCATCCAACAGGATTTTTTAGGAGCCAGCTCCATTAACAACTAGAGAGAGCCTCAAATGTTAGGCGCCAGATGATTTGTAAGGAGAATTGGCGACCTGGCTCCTGGGATCAGCCCTGCTTTATGACGTGTGCTGATATACTACAGTCAAAATTTACCTATTTAACTGCTTTAACTATCTCCCCTCGAAACCTTTTTATTTTTCTGAAAGCCAGTCCTTGGTTCTGTCAATGTCTGTCGTGCTACTTTTTTAAACTCACATTGACCGAATGTGTATCTGGAGACTCTCAACTATCAACTCTGTACATACATTGAGGGAATTGAAAGCTGAACTCTAGGCAGATATAAAAGACACAAAGCAATATAGCTCTGTAATCATTAATATATCATTAAATGTATTTTTAAACACAGACAGTGTAAGTACCTGAATTTGACCTGGTATCAACCTCTTGCAGTCCCTGCACAGCAGGGCTGGGGCGTGAGAGGAAGGCAGCGGGAAGAGTCTGCATGGTGAGCTCCTGCGAATGATGCTCTGTGTTAGTGTTCCCTGATTAATGTGACTGTGACAGGAAGGTTGGAGAGTCTTGTGTTTCTTACCAGAGGTCAAAGCTGATATTATGGCCTGGGATGTCAAGTGAGTCCTCCTGAGCTTTCTCAGTGTCTTGTGCTAGGTACTACTCTGTGCCTTGGAGGCATTGATAGAAATGTTGGGCATTTGGAGCAGTTCTTCTGCAAGAGAGATTTGTACAGACTTACTTATAAATACAGCACTAGGCTACTTTTTGTGGCTCGTAAAATAATAGCACAGAGGTGGATGTTGCGTACTCCACCGTCATTTATCAAATAGCGTGACATCATTAACTCTCTCAGAAAAGCTTACATAGCAAGAGGGGATGCCTGGATACATTATCTAAGATATAGGCTAGATGGTTGGAATCCCCCACTTTGGCACCCGCACGCTTTATCTAAAAATAAATGGCAACTGCACAATTTATAACTAGCCGTTATAGCAAGGTGCACATGGAAGGGCTTACACCAATACAAATCATAAATGTTTCCCAGCACACTTACCAGCTAGCCCGCAACAAAACAAATTACGCTGTCTAACAATATGCATTAAAAACAGAGATTTTAGTTGCACAACTTTTGCAAATTATGTGAAAGCCACACTGCCTTCTGTTTCTGTATGGTGGAAAATTTGTTGAGATAATTTATGATAGGGGTGCCCATTAGGTCTTCGCTATCTACCAGTCGATCGCAAAGCGAACACTGGTAGATCACGATCGGCTGTGTCCTGTCCTCCTGCGGTGCTCATGCAGCTGCTGGCTGAATGTGTCAGATGCCGCATTATATCTTGTCAAGGTGTATATCTATACATGTCAAATGAGGATTGCATTTGTCTTTTCTTTTTCTTCTACCATTTTATTCCTGTTAGTTTGCTGTTGTTTCAGTCACAGAAAAATGAAGTATGAAAAAATGGAAACGTTTTGTTTCTTTTCAAATAAAAGTTATCTAATTGCAAAAAAATGAGCGAGATGCTTGAGACTCTACATTTTAGTTTCAGTTAAAGATCACAAGGGTGAAAAGTCGGTATAAAGCAATGTTCGGTCTATATAGTTTACTGCCCTTCTTGTAATACTATGAGTATATGAAACAATGCCCTTTTTGCTTCATATATTAAAGAGATTGAGAAGTAAGGGCAGTGCCTGGCTCCAGCTTGGAACTTCAAAGACCATTGTTCTTTGTGTCCGGGCACGCAAGAAGACCCAGTGCTGCATGAGGATAAACACTTCCCAACCTTAAGAAATCCAGGGTGGTGGAAACTAAGTGCTGTTTGCCTACATTCAGGGTCTATATGTATAATGAAGATATTGGTGGGAAGAGGGTATGATATTTCATTAAATGAAGCTGCATTTATCCTTTAATGCTAAGTTATGTGCTCAGGTGTGGAGGCTGATCATTGTCAGCACTAACTCAATACATTGACTTCACAGGTTCATGCTCTGTTGATGAATCTAAACTGGAATTTCAGGTACTGCAAAGCAACAGCATTTGTCCTTTATTATTCCAGCGAATGTATGGACACGCCACCACGCTGCCTCTCTTTAACGCGTTTTACTGCCCTTCGATTGTTCTACAATTAATACCCAGCGGGGGGGAGGGGGGGGCAAAACATGTTAGAGAGTGTTAGCCTGGGTAGAGTGTACTGGAATAATGAAGTTGTACTTAACCTCATGGAAGTGGTGTGCGGCCCTGAATACTCTGCTTATGATATTATAATGCATATAGCTTCTCTATTTGATAAGATTGTGCACCATTGTAAATGCCCTCAGTAGTGTTGTGCCATTTGGAGCTCATGGTGGTGTGTGATAGCATTAGAGCAACCCAATTTGTGTGACCTAGAGATAACCTGTTAGTTATATCTTCTGTTGGTATTGCAGTATGTTCCTAAGCAGTTATATTTCATCAATTGTTCATGCACCACGAGTTGTAATTTTCCATCATTGTCTTTTTAATAGACAACAATAGATACAAGCAATTTTATTGATTTCAGGTGATTTTCTTGCTGGCAGAGGGTTGACTCATGGGCTGAGCCGCTTCTGCATCTAACACCTGTGTGAACTTCCTGTTCTTCTTGTTTCTTTATATAGTTTGTAAATGTATAGTATATGTACATAGGGGAAGAATATCAGATTACAATCAGGGTAACTTCTAATGTCTTTGTCTGGCATGACCATTCATAAAGAGATCAAGGAAGTTGTAAAGCTATTTGATGCCTATGGCAAGCTGGGTCACGTATGACCTAACTGAAAACAGAAGACTATATATAAGGCGTATCTCAATAATATTTTGAGAAAATATCATTTTCACAATAAAAAATGGGATTGGGATTCTTACTAGGAAAATAGCAAAGCACCTCCTGCACCCAGACACTTCTCTGTCTACAGCCTTATAGCTATATACAGTATCTGTAGTGTGAGACCTAAGGCACTTCTGCCTCTGACTGACTACCAGACATCAGGGGGGCAGCTCTGATAAGAGGAAGCAAAGCCCTTCCTCTTCCATGATGTCTGCCTTGTTCCACACACAGGCACATTGTGGAACAAGGCATGAAGAGCCACCAATGGGGAAAAGATCAACTGCAGAGACCACAAGAAATTCTGATGACTTGCCCTTTGCATTTGGGTACAGCTTCTAAAGTTCTGATCCTCTTTAAAGTGTAACTTTATCAAAAAGTGATACATGAAGACTAAGTAAATTTGCTATGCACGTACAGATTTTGAATTTATCTTATACCATGGATAATGTGGCAGGAGAAGTGAGACTTTGAGGAGGGGGGTATTGCAGCCAGAAGCTGTGGTGGGGAGATCTTGGTGTTGCACTCTCCAGGAGGTACTACAAACCAGCAGCTTACTAAGCCTACCAGACTCCAACTATGGTTCTAATACATTTTATTTTAGTTTGCTGACCTTTATTAAGCAGGTGGTGGAATAGTGCTAAAATGACATAATTTTTGGATTTTTGCTTTATAGTTTGGAAGAACGGCATTTCACCTAGGAGCTGAACAAGGCCAGATGGAGGTGGTGGAATTCCTCATTGGATCTGGGTGTCATCACAGCCTGAAGGATAAGGTACCGCCAGTGCTCTCCCCTTAAATATCGAAACTCAAAAACAAAAATGTAATATATGGCAGCTTACGAATACGTAAATGTGGTGGCTGCATAATTGTTTTTTAGGCTTTTTTTCCTTTATTTTCACCTGGAGATCCGGCCATTAACACACTTCTTGTGTTAGGATGGCTCCACTCTATGGAGGAGCAACAGAGCCTCCTAAGTTCTCCTTAGGGTAACGGGAGGACACAAACTAGCGTCCTCCCGTTACCCTAAGCTCAGTATACTGCGAGCTACAGCTTGTTGTATACTGAGGCGCCGCAGCCGGAGCGGATCCCGACATCGATGTCGAGATCCGCCCAGCTGCGTGAGTGACAGCTGGCTCTGCCTATCTAGAGGCAGAGCCAGCTGTACCCGCCCCCTCCCCTGTCCGTCCGGCCAGTCAGCGCTGGCGGATCGGAGCGGGGAGAATCCAGCCCCTCCCCTGTCACGGCAGAGAGCCGTGACAGGATCGAGAGGTGAGCGAACGCCGATATATGTTCGCTCACCTCCCGATCTACTGAGCCGACCTGTGACAGTCTCATTGTCACAGGTCGACTAGAACTATGAGGTGAGTGAAAAGCACTCACCTCATAGTTCTCCTTTAATAAAAACCGACCATTGTAAGTACCCCTGTCAACATTAAATGGTTTATCTCAACCCTCAATCTGCCACTTTTGCTAGACAGCTTGGTCTGATATAGGAGGTTGAAAAATAAGACTTACTGGTTAATGGTTGAAAATAAATGAAAAAAAGAAAACTAACGCAGCCACCACATCTAAGAATTACTAAGCTAAAGTATATATTTTTTTTCTTTTGGTGTTTGATACAACAGTGAGCGAACAAGGAAGCTAACACACAGAGAGTGGATTAAAGTTTAAAAAAAGGCACCACATTTATTTTCTGTTTTATGTTCTGACTGTAGTTGCCCTTTACAACACATAAACAGAAGTGCTAGGATGCCTGTGTGTGCATAGCTAGGGTTATAGCTGTCTTACCAGCAGTTACTGATTCTCTCCATAGTTAATAAGTTACACTTTCAGCCTGCAAATTGTGTTTAAATGATCATCCAGGGAGCAACAAAATGTTCATATTTTCTACAGTGCCCCAAGTCCTACATGTGGGTATTAGAGACAGTAAGCCCTCGTTCACACCTAGGCGTATTGCATATGCGCGTCTGTCGCGCGTTTTTTTTACTGCGATTCACGGTAAAAAAGTCGGCGACCGTCGCGCGATTCCGAAGGCTACTTGGCTGTATCCCAATGGAAAACGCCATACAAAACGGCCCAAAGTAGTACCTGGACCTTTTCAGGCGTGGGCCGTTTTGTAGGGCGTTAGGGACGGGCGGAAATACGGCAAGGTGGGAACGAGACCATTGACTACAATGCAATTTATATTTTTGACCGTTTTGTAGAGCGTTCGTCAAACGTAGAACGCGCTACAAAACGGTCAGGTGTGAACGAGGGCTTAGAGAAGGTTTGCTTATCAGAATCCATGTGTAGTTGACATTCCTTTAAAGCAGAACTTCAGGAAAACATATTTGCATAGTTTATATCTTTATTGTTTTATTTGCCAAATGAATTGTTTTTTTAAACACCTCTGCCACAGTATATAGTCAGGAACATGACACACCAAGGCTGCATTCACAAGGGGCTTTTATGTGTGCGTTCTGGGATTCCTTCTGCAACGACGGATCCTTGCACTAGGAATCCCAGGTGTGCTCGTTCAGATGCCAATTCATAAACCAATTAGAGTCTGCCCATTATTCTCCTAAATTGTACTAATACAAAGCAAGCCATTTTCAAAATATGCATACACATTACAGAAATTACAAAAAGCGCTCTCCCCCCAGCAGTGCTCGGCTACCTGTGACAGTTTCTCTCCTCCCCGCTGGGACACAGAGCAGCGCCCAGCGGGGAGGAAAGAAAGCAGGGATGTGCCGCTATAACGGCAGAAAAATGGCACTTTCGGCATTTAGATAAAAAGTGCCATTTGCGGCCGATATGCTTCGGTGGCGGATATATCGATGCATCCCTAATCTAAGGTCTCTATCTCACATGCATACATACACATAATAGGGTCGATGTACAGTGTAACCTAAAAACCCACCAGCGAGTATTTCGAGTGTGGAAGGAAACCCATGCAAGAAGATTTGAACCAATGACCCCAGTACTGCAATGTAGAAGTGCTAACCACTAGGCCACTGTGCTGCTCCTCTAAGCTACTGCTATATAATACTTTCTGTAATGGTGATCACATCCTTGTTAGTCATTATAACATCTTCTATTATATCCTATATTTCAGGAGAACAACACAGCTCTCCATCTAGCTGCTAAGAATGGCCATACGGACGTCTTGCAGAAAATTGTAGAAACTGGAGTGGAGCTGAATGACAAAAATCTGGTAAGTAAAATCAGCTTGCTTGGAGCCACTTGTTAATCTGTTTATCAGAGGACTAAATATAAATTCACCCATAAGCAAGCACGATTATGGTAACTACAAAGCAAAGCAGAAGAAAGCCCATGAGACTGAATGCGTTATGTAGGCATCTGCCTAAAACAGCATTGACCTGAAGGAGTAGCCTAAACCAAAAGACAAACCTACAGCATAGTGTACATCAGCAGCTTGCACCTTTAGTTTCTTATGGATTTTGCTGTTTACATCTAAAGTGATAGATTTTATTGATTAATGAGCTAGAATAATACTGCACACTTTCTGTCCAACAGACTTGAGCTGCAATTTAAAGTAAGTCAGTAAAAGTCACCTTTGTTGAAGCATAGTGCAGTGTTATTGCATTTATTACCTTATGAAATAAGTTCTTTTAAGTAGATATCGTACCACAGGTAAGTTGTTCGATAGTTGAGGATATTATGTTAAGTTTATGGAGGTGAGTAGGCACCGGCCTATGTGCAGGGGCATAAGTACAAATTACAGGGCCCTATAATATTATTAAACCGCAACTTGTTGGCCTATTAGTTACCTCTCTCACTGGCACCTAATAATAATTCCCTTTAATATTGGTGCCCAGTGGCTTTTAATGCAGGTTTAATATAGACCCCTTTACTATATTACCTATAGTATGAACCCACTTGAACACTAGTGGCCAGTGACTGATACAATATCCATTACACTTTTCTCAATAAAACCCATTTCAGGCCTTGTTTACACCATGTCGGGACCAGATCTGGATGTGTTTCTGCGTATACAGTGCAGTGCGTTTTTGATGCGTTCCAGTGTGGTCGAGACAAAAAAAATAGTGCCTTAGGTCAGCCGAACATGCTCTGAGCTGAAGTGCAGAGGGACTTCGACTGAGCCGAAGCTCCGGCAGCTCACTCTCTGCCGTTCACCCCTATTCTCATAGGTGCCAAACGGCAGTGAATGAATAGCAGAATGCCACCGAGCGGCTTTCGGCTCGGCTGCTCGGTACCTCCGAGGTACGAGCAGAATAAAAAATAAGTCAAATGAATGAAAAAAAAAAGAGTTGAAAAATTATTCTAAAAATGTAAATACCGTATTTTGCGCTCCATGAGGCGCACCCGTCCATAGGATGCAGGGAGGTTCTGTGACAGCAGCTGTAGTTAGTGACAGCTGAGACTGTGATTACAGCGCCACGGTCTCAGTGATCACACAGAGCAGACGAAGAACGGGCGTTTTTCGTCTGCTCTAGGGGCTCTATGGTGAGCTCCTATGCCGTTGTCACGGGTCCCCTAGAGGAGCGGGGGACCTCGAAAACCACGGCCGGGGGGGCCCTGGAAATGATCGCCACCGCTGCTCGGTTTGATACAAGTGATCTCATTAGATCACTTGTATTAAGCCAGCAGGGGCTCCCACTGTACATTTAGCTCTGCTTCTCCGGAGCAGGACTAAATGTACAAAAAACTACTCGCCCGGCGCCCGAAACTGCAGGTCCCGGGCGTCGGGTGATAGGGATTCACTTCATAAGACACACACACATTTTCCCCCGCCTTTTGGGGGGCGGATCCCATCTTCAGTGTTCTGGCTGAGGGAAGGAGGTTCTCATCCGAGATTTTACAATACATGGCCCTGTCAATTGGCCCCTTAATGCGGCAAAGTCGGCCTGTTAGGGGCTCTATGGTGAGCTCCTATGCCGTTGTCACGGGTCCCCTAGAGGAGCGGGGGACCTCGAAAACCACGGCCGGGGGGGCCCTGGAAATGATCGCCACCGCTGCTCGGTTTGATACAAGTGATCTCATTAGATCACTTGTATTAAGCCAGCAGGGGCTCCCACTGTACATTTAGCTCTGCTTCTCCGGAGCAGGACTAAATGTACAAAAAACTACTCGCCCGGCGCCCGAAACTGCAGGTCCCGGGCGTCGGGTGATAGGGATTCACTTCATAAGACACACACACATTTTCCCCCGCCTTTTGGGGGGCGGAAAGTGCGTCTTATGGAGTGAAAAATACGGTAAATAGGAAACTTTAAAAATATATATATTTTAATGAAAATTAAAAAAATAATACTAATAGAGAAAAAAAAATTGGGCCAGAGCTTGCGGTGACAGCTAGCTCCGCCCGACGGTTTCCTATTGGCCGCCAGCTGCCAGAGTCTTCCAGCAGGTCCCAGCCAATGAATAACAACTGGGTGGAGCTGGCCGTGATGTCATGGCCGGCCCTGCTCAATTGTTATTGTTTAATGACCGATCAGCGTCCCCAGCTCAATGGGGACACTGATCTGTCATTACAACTTGGCGGAGCCAGCCGTGAGATCACGACTGGCTCCGCCCAGCTGTCATTTGCCTGGAGTACGGCCGGCCCTTTCGGAGGCCATTCTCCCCACTTCGGCTGTCACTACGGCTCAGTCAGGCCGAAGCATATCCCTTCAGCTCGGCTGAGCCGTTCGGCTGCTGTACAGGGTATAACCGAACTATAACACCCCAGGTTTGCACACATCTCAGGAGGGATTTTGGTCCACTCATCTTTACAGATCTTCTCTAAATCCTTAAGGTTTCTTGGCTGTCACTTGGCAACTCGAAGGTTCAGCTCCCTCCATACATTTTCTATAAGATTATGGTCTGGAGACTGGCTAGGCCACTCCATGACCTTAATGTGCTTATTTTTGAGCCACTGCTTTGTTGTCTTGGCGTTGTGTTTTGGGTCATTGTAATGCTGAAAGACCCATCCACGACCCATCTTCAGTGTTCTGGCTGAGGGAAGGAGGTTCTCATCCGAGATTTTACAATACATGGCCCTGTCAATTGGCCCCTTAATGCGGCAAAGTCGGCCTGTAGCAGAGAAACAGCCCCAAAGCATAATGTTTCCACCTCCGTGCTTGACTGTCGGGATCCTGTTCTTAGGGTCATAGTCAGCATTTTTCTTCCTCCAAACACGGCAAGCGTTTGCCAAAAAGCTAAATTTTGGTCTCATCTGACCCGCAGAACTTTCTCCCAATCCCTCTCTGAATCATTTAGATGTTCATTGGCAAACTTCAGACAGACCTGTACATGTGCCTTCTTGAGGAGGGGGAACTTGCGGGCACCACAGGATCTCAGTCCATGGCGGTGTATTGTGTTACCAATGGTTTGTTTGGTGACTGGGGTCCCTAACTGCCATGAGAACATTCACAAGCTCCTCCTGTGTAGTCCTGGGCTGATCCCTCACTTTTCTCATGATCATCCTTACCCCATGAGGCAAAATCTTGCATGGAGCTCCAGACCGAGGGCAATTGATGGTTATTTTGTATTCCTTCCATTTGCGAATAATCGTTCCAACAGTTGTATCCTTCTCACCAAGCTTCTTGCTGATAGTCTTGTAGCCCATTTCAGCCTTGTGCAGGTCTACAAGCTTGTCCCTAACGTCCTTTGACAGCTCTTTGGTCTTGCCCATGGTGGTGAGGTTTGAATGGAAGAAAGAGATTCTGTGGACAGGTGTCTTTTATAAATATAATGCGTTGTCGTTAGGAGCACCTTCTTAAATTGAGAGGACTAATCTGTGTACCACATAGCCAGTCTGTGGGAGGAGCCAGAATTATTGTTGGTTGGTAGGGGATCAAATACTTATTTTACTCACTGAACTGCAACTCAATGTATAACATTTGTATCATGTGTTTTTTTCTGGATTTTTGGTTGATATTCTGGCTCCATCATTTAAAATACACCTATGATAAAAATTATAGACCTTTCATTTCTTTGTAAGTGGGCAAATGTACAAAATCTGCAGGGGGATCAAATCATTATTTTCCACACTATATATAGGGTTTTTCTCCAATTTGACTGCAGGTGGAAATACACATTAATGTCCCATAATACCTTGTTTCAGATACTGTTAAACAATGGTTATTGACAGAGCCGAGCCATGGAATGCTAAAGGAGGAAGAGGAGGTATGAGTACATGGCTAGCAGACTTCTGTTAGTGGACAAACCTGTCTGTGTTCACTTCAGAACCTCCATTGTGTTTAGATGACAGGTCCATGGTTATGGTACAATCACTATTGTGTAAAGATCAGGACCTTTTTGATTTTGTAAAATGATCTGCATGTTTAGCTAAATCTTATTATTATGTGTTCCTGTAGGAGGGAAATACAGCTTTGCATATGGCTACAGAAGGAGGTCACTTTGACTGCATTAGAATTCTGCTAGAAGCTGGAAGTGATGTCAACGTGCAAAATGAGGTAATGTGAACATATGGGAAGAGGATGAAGACATTATTCTTTGAATGCTTTCTCCAGCTGTGGTGTAGCTCAACAAATTGGGGTTTTCCTGGTATAAAATGTGCTGATATAAAGAGACCTCCACCACTGCCGGCCCGGGGGAGGCATATTGAAGAGAAATCCCCCCTTCTCCACCGCTCACATGGGAGCAGTTCAGCTCTTAAAAGGCTTTATACCGTGTTTTTAAGCTTGAGTATCCTTCTCTATCTACCGTATGTGCAGGCAGTCATAAACACTTATTACAGCGGCTGAGCGGTTTGGCACATATTTCTTCTTTTAAGTGTTTGCTTTTTTACTTCCTTCATT